TGTTTGGCCTTGGTACAGACACACAAGGTGACACACACTTCTTAAAATACCAATTAGGAGGTTAATGTCCCACATCTCTGGCTTTTTAAATTGCAATTAGTGTCAGTGTATAAATAGTCAATGAGTTTGTTAGCTCTTACGTGGAAGCACTGACTAGGCTAGATACTGAGCCATGGGGATCAGAAAAGAACTGTCAAAAGTCCTGCATAACAAGGTAATGGAACTTTATAAAGATGGAAAAGGACATAAAAAGATGTCTAGACTCCTCTAGACACCCACTAGTTCTGGTTTATTATTATATGTATCGTATATTAGCACATTATGAAAGACTTACCTTAGAACGAAGCCCTCCAACGGCGAGCTGTTACCTCTGACAGGCCTTCCATCTTCACCCAGTCTTCCTTCCGACTTGATTGGCCGAGCGACGTCATTCCCGAGCATGCACTTGGGAGTCTCGTCTGTGTCGAGCTGTGAAGGAATGGCAACTATGCCGTTCCGTCAGAGCACATGCACCATTGTCGTCATCAGCTGCAGGGACACTGAAAACCTCCAAACCAGTGCATGTTTAGGAGCTATTCCTTGTACCTACAGGTAAGCATTAAGGACCACCCTATAGCAAATATACTGCTACAAGGCGGCACCTGTGCAAAAAATCACGTATATATACGTGATTTTGCATTTCCGGGTAGGGGGCGTGCGCTAGAAGCACACGTGCCCTACCTGCGCCGCCATTCGTAGCCGTGGATGTCAATCACCGGGTCCCAGCCAGTAATTACCTGCCGACAATCACCGACGAGGAGGAAGACTGTTTTGTTTACAAACATTCTTTCTCTCTGTCAGCTTGAGCACACTGCCCAGGATGGCTGTGCACAGCACAGCCATCCCAATCAGTGTGCTTACAGTAAAGTACACACCCCCGCCTCCTAGTAAAACACTCCCAGCACATAGTTAAACCTTTGATCACCCCTCATATTAACCCCTTCTTGCCCAGTGCCATTAGTACAGTGTCAGTACTTTTTTTTTTAGCACAGATCATTGTATTGGTGTCACTGGGGATGTCAGTGACACCAAGTTAGTTCTCCCCCAGTGTCAGAATGTCCGCCGCAGTCCCGCTATAAGTTGCTGAACACCCCCATTACTAGTAGAAAAAAAAAATCCTAGTATCTATACCATCATTTGTAAACGCTATAACTTTCACGTAAACAAATTTATATAAATGTATTGGAATGTTTTTAGCCATGTTGCAGAATACATTTTGGCCTAAATTTATGATGAAATTTGATTTTTTTTAATTTTTTACTTGACATGTTTGATAGCAAAAGTCGAAAATATTGTTTTTTTCTCAAAATTGTTGGTATTTTTTTTGCTTATAGCGCAAAAAGTAAAAACGCACAGGCAATAAAATACGACCTAAAGAAAGCTCAGTTCATGAGAAAAAAAGGATGTAAATTTTATTTGGGTGCAGCGTCGCATGACTGCACAGTTGTTAGTTAAAGTAACGCAGTGCTGTAATGCAAAAAATGGCCAGGTCAAGAAGAGAGGTAAATCCTCAGGAGGGCAAGTGGTTAATATATACTTACCTGTAGGTACAAGTGTCCAGTGAGAGTTTACTTCCACTTTAATCAAGCCAACTGTACAATGTGAATATACAGTAGGTAAACTCAGACTTTCAGACACTTCAGCTGTGGCTAGTACGCTACCTGCTATTGGTTTTACTGTGTTCCTGGAATTCAGCTTTATCCTTGAAAACTTTCCTTTGGTTTTTACACCATAATATAAGTACAGTTTTAAAAGCCTTTAAAGAAGTATTAAACCCAAAAGCAAATGTTTATCATATTGCAGCTTACCAATTAATTTTCTTTTTTAGGCCTTTTTCTATTTCCATCTGGTGATCCAGCCGATAAGCCTGGTGTTTTTCAAAAAAACAAGCGCTCTTGTCCATTGTATCATTTACAGAGATGAGACAAACTATTTAGCACTGACAGGGGTGCTTACAATGATCAACTTGTGTTTATATAACAACTTAATCAAAATAGTAAAGAAAGAAAAAAAAATGCTGCAACTACTTAGAAAGTGTTAGCTGGAGTTCGGCTTCAAATTATTATTGTATTTAAATCTGCTAGTACATCTAAGACTCCCCTCACCCCAGAATGAAAATGCGGCTGTCTTCTGTGGCCATTTGTTCATACATCCACTCTAATACAGGAAGGGTGTTACTGGCCAGATCACCAGGTGAAAACCGAGGGGAAAAGCCAAAAAAAAGAAAACTACTACAGCCACCACATCCAATGATTGGTAAGCTGCTATATATTACATTTTTGGTTTTGAGTTTAATACCGCTTTAACTGCAGTACCCTATTAAAAAAAATACAATATGTTCACACAAAAAGCCACCCAGGCTTCTCATAGGTTCCTAAAACACCATTATAGTAATAAGCACCTATTGCTACAAGTTCCTTTATTTCTGGTCTATCAGACGTCTGAATTTTAGGATAATAAGCATCTTGAATTAAAGGTCTGCAGAACCTAAATTGAAGGTTGTAGAAATGAAAGAGCTACTGGGAACATTCAAATGCATATATAAGCAAAAGTTCTGGAAGCTTTGAAGAAATGAGGATATTTCAGTTTAGACATGGCCCCCATGGTCTTTCTGGGGCCCATGTAGGGGGGACACATGGCTGATGTCTGTAGTGTGTAACAGACCGCCAATGTATGGTAATGATGGCGTTCATAATGTACTGAAGAACTAAATACATTGGTATATACTTTTATTTTCACCATATGCTATACAAGCTTCTCTTATACAGCAATGGGTATCAGGTAAGCGTATTGCTATATTCATTGCGGAACTGCTGCCAAGATCATATTATTTTGTTTGTAATTCAGAGAAGCTGTTAGAGCACCAGATATGCCAAGATTATTCAGCATCATAGCATGCATCAAACCACTGGTAGCCTGCCATAGGACCCAGTCTGAGATGACTAGGAGGAAGATTGCCTCAACTACAAGCAAAAACCCTTCTGGCTTACAAAGGGTATACTTGGAAACAAAAATGGGGCAGACTCAATGGCCCACTTTTTTTTCTACTGCACTCTTCTATGTTTCGCTGTTTTCCATTAAAAGTCCTAAAGTAACTAAAGCATGGTGTATATGACAAAAGACCTCATAGCACCAACTTTACAGAAAAAATGAACCTAATAAATACCAGAAAGTGTGCATGCTAGCAGAAAGAGACACATCTATTTATATATGTAGGCATATACACTGTGAAAAAGTATTTGCCCCTTCCTGATATTTTCCTTTCTTACATATTTGTCACACTTAAACTATTCAGATCATCAAAAAATTTCAATATTACACAAAGATAACCCGAGTAAATACAACATTTTTTAAACAATGATTTCATTTATTAATGGAAAAAAAGCTGTCCAAACCTGCCTGGCCTCATGTGAAAAAAGTAATTGTGATTAAGCACCTTTGTGGAAAGCTGAATAAAAATTCACTTGCTACACTCAGGCCTGATTTCTGCCAGACCTGTTGAATCAAGAAATCAATGAAATAGAAGCTGTCTGACAAAGTGAAGCATGCTAAAAGATCTCAAAAAGCAACACATTATGCCACAATCTAAAGAAATTAAAAAACAGACGAGAAACAAAGTAATAGACATGTATCAGTCTGGGAAGGATTACAAAGTAATTTCTAAGGCTTTGGGACTCCAACGAACCATGGTGAGAGCCATTATCCACAAATAGAGTGAACTTTGAAGAGTGGGGAATGTTCCCAAGGGTGGCCGGCCTACCAAAATTACTCCAAGGGCACAACATCATCCAGGAGGTGAACCCAGAACAACATCCAAAGAACTGCAGGCCTCACTTGCCTCAGTTAAGGTCAGTGTTCATGATTCAACAATAAGAAAGAGACTGTGCAAAAATGGCATCCATCAAAGAGTTCCAAGGTGAAAGCCACTGCTGACCAAAAAGAACATAAAGGCTCGACTCGTTTGCCAAAAAACATCGTGATTATCCCCAAGACTTTTGGACAAATATTCTGCGGACTGATCTGGCAAAAGTTGAACTTTTTAGAAGGTGTTCGTCCCATTATATCTGGCATAAAACTAACACAGCATACCAACAGTCAAACATGGTGGTGGTGGTAGTGTGAAGGTCTGGGGCTGCTTTGGAGCTTCAGGCCCTGGGCAACTTGCCATAATTGATGGAACCATGAATTCTGCTTTCTGCCAGAAAATCCTAAAGGAGAATGTCCGGCCATCAGTTCGTGAGCTTAAGCTCACTTGGGTTATGCGCAGGACAATGATCTGAAACACACCAGCAAGTCCACATCTGAATGACTCTAAAAAAAAACGAAATAAAGGTATTGGAGTTGCCTAGTCGAAGTCCGGACTTAAATCCAGTCGAGATGCTGTGGCATGACATTAAGCAGGCCATTCATGCTTGAAAACCCTCCAATGTGGCTAAATTAAAACAAGTCTGCAAAGAGGAATGGGCCAAAATTCCTCCACAGAGATGTGAAAGACTCACTGCCAATTTTCGCAAATGCTTGATTGCAGTTGTTGCTACCAAGGGTTGCACAACCAGTTATTAGGTTTAGGGGGCAATTACTTTTTCACATAGGGCCAGGCCAGGTTTAGACAGCTGTTTTCCCTTAACCACTTGCCTACCGGGCACTTATACCCCCTTTTTTACCAGGCCAATTTTCAGCGCTGTCGCATTTTGATTGACAATTGTGCGGTCATGCAAGATTGTACCCATATGAAATTTTTATCATTTTTTTCTCACAAATAGAGCTTTCTTTTGGTGGTATTTAATCACCGCTGGGCACTTTACTTTTTTGCGCTATAAACAAAAAAAGTGCAAAAAATTTGAAAAAAAAGTTTCTTTGTTTCTATTATAAAATTTTTCAAACAGGTAATTTTTCTCCTTCACTGATGTACGTTGATGAGGCAACACTGATGGGCACTAATAGGCGGCACTGATGGGCACTGATAGGCAGCACTGATGGGCACTGATAGAAAGCACTGATAGGCAGCACTGATAGGCAGCACTAATGAGGTGGCACGGATAGGCGGCGCTGATAGGCAGCACTAATGAAGTGTAAAGGATAGGCAGCACTGATAGGTGGTACTGACTGGCATCACTGATAGGTGGCACTGACTGGCATCACTTCTGGGCACTGACTGGCACAACTGCTGGGCACTGACTGGCACACACACGCTGGGCACTGACTGGTGGCACTGCCTGGCAGCACTGCTGGGCTGCATTGATGGGCAGTGGTGGGTGGCACTGGTGGGCACAGGTGGGTGGCACTGCTGGGCACAGGTAGGTGACACTTCTGGACACAGTTGTGTGGCACTGCTGGGTGGCACAGGTGGGTGCACTGCTTGGCACAGGAGGGTGCACTGCTGGGTGGCACAGGTAGGCGCACTGCTGGGCACAGGTGGGTGCACTGCTGGGCACAGGTGGGCGCACTGCTGGGCACAAGTGGGTGGAACTGGTGGGTGGCACTGCTGGGCACCGATCATCAGGGCACTGATCATCAGCATACAGTGGGCTGAAACACCTTAGCACTTTTGTATGCTGGTTTGTACAAGACAATAACGACTGCTTTTTTCTGCACAGTCACCGAGTTGCCGTTTCATTTACCTGTTTACGTTTGCTGTGCACTGTGGAGGTTTGTGGAATTTAGATACTGTATTTCTAGCCTACTCCTATTAATCCAAATGATCTTGAAGTTTGCAAATTGACTTTGTGAAGATCCCCACACTTTTACTTCTATGAAATATTTGACACATATTCACTGTCATGTGAGTAGGCACAGAAGTGCTGAGAGGACGAGTTTCAGGAGGTGGAATCAGTACAGGGATCACTGCTTGCAGGCTGCAAGGTACCATGGGATACATAGTCCTTAGAAATAGAAAGTAAATAGCATGAAAGAAGATTTTTTAAGTAATCTTATATGGGATTGTCAAAAATAACTATAGTTTGTATTTTTATTACAATGCTGAGGTTATAAAATGAAAGTGTATGCTGTGATCATAGATTTCCTTTAAAGCTGAACTCTGGGATAAGCAAATATTTCCCAAATACAAGAGGCATGTGCATTCTTGTTGAATACACTTCAGCTACACTGCCTAGATGGGCAGCAGCTGTTCAGGCTGGGGTCTTCTGCTCCAGGACCCTGACTATTTATGCACTCCTCAGCCACCTACTGGGCATCCAACACCCCACCCCCTATTATACAATCTAGTAGAAGGCAGCAGGGAGCAGTTGAGCCTTCAGACAGTGAGACCTAGAACAGCCAAAAATAATCATACACCACTTCAGTTATTACAGTGGAGATAAAGAACTAAATTTACCTGAATGTTTCTAGCAACTTATTCTATGAGGGTGCTACACCTAGTTGTTTTTTCTACGCTTTTTACAAAACACATATGAAGATATCAGTCCATTTGTTTCTCATGGTCCCATCAGATATTGGCTAACCCCTATCAGTCTGGAATTCACCCTCAACACTCCACGGAAACAGAACTCCTTAAACTCACAAACGATCTACAAATGGCTAAAACCAATGGATACTATTCTGTACTCCCACTCCTGAACCTCTCTGCTGCCTTTTACACAGTGGACCACTCCCTCCTCCTCAAAAAAAACTCTATTCTTTTGGTCTTCGTGACTTTACTCCTCACTGGTTCTCATCCTACCTATCCCATTGCACCTTCAGTGTCACTTACAGTTCTACTTCCTCTTCTCCTCTTCCTTTGTCCGTTGGGGTTCCCCAAGGTTATGTTTTTGGATCCCTCTTATTCTCAATCTACACCTCTTCCTTAGGTCAGTTGTTAGCATCCCTTGGCTTTCAATACCATTTCTATGCAGATGACAGCCATATCTATCTCACTACCCGTTTTGCTCACTCCATCAGTTTCCACACGCATCACTAATCTACTAACAGACATATCAGACTCGATGTCACACCACTTCCTGAAAAACAATCTATCCAAAACTGAGCACATAATATTTCCTCCCCTACGTGCCCCCTTCCCCCAACTTCTCTGTCAAAATCAACGGCTCAACCAGGGGCGGACTGACAACTCATGGGGCCCCCGGGCAATAGGGGATCATGGGGCCCCTGTGTCCTTGCCCAAACTCAAAAAAGCCTATGAAAAAGGTACCAGGGGCATCTCATGGGGCCCCCTACTGACCACGGGCCCTCAGGCAGTGCCCGAGTTTCCAAATGGTCAGTCCACCCCTGGGCTCAGCCATCAACCCGTCCCCGCATGCCAGGGTTCTAGGTGTATTCCTGGACTCTGAGCTATCATTTCAGCCCACATCCAATCACTGTCCAGAGCTTGCCGCCTCAACCTCCGTAACATCTCAAAGATACGTCCCTTCCTAACCAATGATACCACAAAGCTTCTAACTCACTCCCTGGTCATCTCTTGCCTTGACTACTGCAACTTCCTCCTCACTGGCTTACCTTTACATAGGCTAGCCCCACTTCTGTCCATCATGAATACTGCTGCCAGGCTCATCCACCTTACCAACTGTTCAGTGTCTGCCACCCCTCTCTGTCAATCCCCCCACTAGCATCCGCTCACCCAACGAATAAAATTCCAAGATACTTACAACAACTTATAAAGCCATCTACAACTCAGCCCCCAGCTACATCCCTAACCCTGTCTCAAAATACCAACCAAATCGTTCTCTTCATTCTACCCAAGACCTCCTGCTCTCTAGTTTCCTTGTCACCTCCTCCCATGCTCACCTCCAGGACTTCCCCAGAGCCACTCCCATCCTCTAGAACTCCCTTCCTCAATGTGTCCGACTATCTCCTACTCTGTCCACTTTTAGACAATCCCTAAAAACTCATCTCTTCAGAGAGGTCTATCCTGCCCTCACCTAGCAACTGTACATGTAGTTTCACCATCAGCCCATCCCCCACAGTTACTATCCTTTGTATCAATTGACCCTCCCTTTTAGATTGTAAGCTCTAATGAGCAGGGCCCTCTGATTCCTCCTGGGTTAATTTGTAATGTAATTATACGGTCTGTCCTTATGTTTTAAAGCGCTGCGTAAACTGTTGGCGCTATATAAATCCTATATAAACATGAATAGGTAGGTGCTTAAACAACCATGCAACAAACTTTGAGAGAGAATCCTCTCTCCACATTTGGAAGGTTTGACGGGATCACGCTACATATTCGGGTTCCCATGACGGCACATCTGACCTTCCGAAAGCGAGGTTTGGAATGCACGCCGGCCATTTTATTGGATTACAAAGGCTGTACAAACTGGTGCCTGTCTTGTGGGCACCTTTACATGTGAGTGTAAAACCTTATGTATTTATATTGTGTAAATTCTAAGAAATACTACACTAAGAATGCTTAATCTATTTGATTCATTTGAGCCTCTTGGAGCATCACCTTTGTTGTAAGCAAAGTCTGATATTTAGAGTCCATCCACTACTGCCATACCTGGAATCCAGTTGGGGGCAATAGTTATGATGTGCTGATGACCAGGAGAGCCTGCTGCTGTTCATCAAATCCATATTTTCACAAAACGTTATTTGATCACCTTACCTGGGGTCAGTTGTCTCTGGTGAGTGAGAAATTCACTTATTTCGTCTGCACGTGGTAGGAGAACACAAACTTTTGGTTTCCAAAAATGCATCTTCATGTGACAGTCACCATATATTTTGTCATCACTTTATACAATATTATGTATATTATTTGCTATTTGATAGATGGTGTTGAGAGCTTTTCTCATACCACATCTGGTTTAGGACTTATGCGTTAATAGATGCGGAGAGAGGATTCTCTCTCAAATTTTGTTGCGTGGTTGTTTTAGTGCCTACCTATTCATGTGTTTATATGCCTAAGGGCTCATGTACACTGAAGCTGATAAACTCACGTTTAGGAGCTGTTCAGCATTTTTTTAAGCAGCCCCTGAACTCACCCTAATGTTTTTCTATGTGTTCATGTACACATCTTCGTTTGCAGTTGTTTACAGGCAGTTGAGTTTACAGGTTTTTTTTTTAATGCAACAAACATGCGTTCAGACGTCGATTTTATCATTGTTTCAAACGCAAAATGCTTGTAAACGCGGCTAAATGCATCTAAACACGGCAAATCATGTTTATAAGCGTTTGAAATTTTTTTTTTAACTCTTCCAGTTCCCCATGCTGTTTAGAGCCTTTTTTTCATCATGAAAAATGCATGCAAAGAGTTTTCAAGGTACTCAGATGGACAAAACACTGAACACAGGATGTTCCTACCAAGCTTGTCACACATTGTAATGACCAAGTCACACCTCAGCCCTCTACACCCTTGGAAACAAAAGATATGTTAATGCTCATTCACACCTCAAATTCCTCATGAAGACCCCCTGCCAGGTGGCCTTAATGACTCACTCCAGCAGACACCTTTCCCACCCTTGGAAACAAAAGAAATGGTAATGAGCAGCTCACACATAATTATCTCAACACTTACTACTGTCTCTGCTTCTACTGTGTGTATTTCTCTGAAGCAGTCTGAAATAGTTAATAATTTACCACTTTTTAGTGCATTCTGGGCATTTGGGAGGTTCTCCTGTGCTTATCTTTAAAAAAATGCTTCTAAACGCAAACGCGCACAAACGCGCATAAATGCGTTATGCAAACGCAGCTAAACATTTTTTAACCTACGGTTTCCAGCAGTCAGTTTCCATCATTCAGAAACGTTCTGTGTACATGGGGCCTTAGTGTATTTCACTTTTTATCAACCTTTATCTCCGGTGTATTATGGACTTAAATTAATTTATGATGTATTGCTTGAACACACAATTACATAGGCGGCACAATATTCAAATTTATTTATTTTTGTACACTATATAAAATCCTGTATAATAATAATCTGATAAGGTTACCCCTATAAAAGAGTCACTAACTGAATTGACAAAATTTTTCTACCTGGTTTAAAAAATGTAGTAATTAAGAGAACAATCTTCCGATTTTCCTTCTTCAACTGTGCTTTCACAAAAAAATTAATTCACCGTTTTATTATATATTATTGATATTTTATCTATTTACATAAATATCATATAATGGGGGCTATTCTTTGATCTTCTTTCTTTTTATTACTATGGCTATGTGCTGTGTTATATCCTAATTTGTTCCTCGTTTTAAATACTATTCTTCCTTCCTGAAAACTACAGTTGACAGACAGGTTCCTGAACTCTAGATGAATTTAGTCACCCCTAACTTATGGTAAACACAACCTCAGTACAGGACTCATAGCAAATGATTCAGATATGTGAAAGTAATACACAGAAGTGAAAATGATTGACTGAAGATGTGATCAAGGCAGTCAGTGCAAGCAACATCCTATCACAATAAACATTCTCTTGGTTCTTCAGGCTCACTCACTTCCTCTTTCTGCATCCCCTTGAAGAAGCATGGCTGGAAAACCGTAGTCCTTT